GTGTGCGTGTGTTTTGTGAGAGTGTGAGTGTGCTAAAAATGTAGTTTTCTCTTTAATATGTATGTACAAACGTGTGTATATATTTATATTAAGGAGTATAAAGATCGATCGAAGTAAGATAATATAGCTACTATATTGTGGTATAGAGCACGATCAAACTAATTTACTACATATACTATATTATTGTATCAAGTATGATCAAACTGATACTATATCTACTATGTTATAGTATAATGCATGATCAAACCTTAGTTACTATAACTGCTATATACCTAACAGATGGCTGCGTGCGTGTGCCTGGGGAGTGCAGACGGCAGGGCTCTCGGCGATTATCTTCAAGTCAACAGTTACAGGGATTTGGTTGTCGGGAATCATAGGCCTTTTTGAGGGTCTATTTGAAGAATATCTGAAACGGGACAAACACCCCCATGTGGCCATGCTAGAGATATACATTGTACGTTGTCCGCCCTTTGCATACTGGTGTTCTGCGTTGCCAGTCGGTCCACACGTTAAACGCTGAGGTGCATTCATTTAGTCTGTTATTTATATATATATATATTGAGAGTACGAAAGATGTATTTTTGTTTATATATATATCTATATCTATATCTATATTTCTATTTATTTCTATTTCTATATCTATATATCTGTATCTATATCTATCTATGTATATATATATCTATATATATGTGTGTATTTATATGTGTGTACATATATATATATATATACATATATATATTTATATATATATATTCTGTATGATTATTCGTTTATTGCCTGCTAGAGAAACATATTGTGAGCTTCATAGTATACTAATGTGAAATTGTAATCACAGATTACCACATGTGCCTCAAATAGTGTCGAGTTGTATATCTGTTATCTGTTCGTCAATGTATGTGAATGATATATGCAATGCTTGATGCTCGTGATATATAAAATTTTATTGTGGGCGCACGTGCGAAGCTATATATATGATACTTGTATATATATATATATGTGTGTATGTGTATGTATGTATATATATATATATATATATATTCACCCTATATGTGTGTTTGTGTGTATGTGTATGTATGTATATATATATATATATATATATTCACCCTCCTGCGTGTAACTATTGTACATTGTTGGTCTATTCATATCTTCCACGGTGCACATCTAAATATCTTCTTACACAGTCGATATCTATCACCTATGCCTCTCCGTGTTCTGATCTATATCCATCCCATCTTCCCCATCGGTTCGGTCCTGCGCATTTGTTCGCACAGCCTCTGCTGTGTGTCTTCTATCTACTCTTCTTCTCTCTTAAATAAGTACTATCCATGTCTTAACCTTTGTCTGCGTACTACGCATGTCTTCTCCTTTGAATGTACATCATATATGTCTCCTTCTTATCTCGACTATTCGCCTCATCCCATCCTCCTCTCTCTCTAGTGTGGCGTGCTATCGAGTATAGTGCTGCTGGCGTGTCATGGGGCTGGTTGGCTGGACTGTCCCAGCATGCCATACCTATCCATTATGGCCATTCACCTTCCAGGTATCCATGAAAATGCTTTGGCACCATATACACTTGTAGATAAACATGTACATGTACATGTATATATATATGTGTGTGTATGTGCGTGTATTGCATATTTATATATTTGGTATATTTTATAATATATATATATATATATATTGTATTATATTATATATATATATATGTATGTATGTATGTATGTATATTTATGTATTTATTTGGGTGTATGTTGTTTGTATGTATATGTATACATATTTACATACGCGCCAAAACCTTTTGTTTGATCGGCACTAGCTTTACTTACACTTAACCTCCTATTGATGAGTCATCTGCGAGAGTTCTGATTGGCCTATGCATTGGTATTTGCTCTCTTTGCAGGTACCATGGCAACCTTCGGCGTCATGGAAATGCTCACTGGCCACACAGTATGTCACTTTGGTGCAAAGTAGTCGTGTCTAAGCTCATCTGGTGACAGTCAGTCAGTCAGTTACTTTACTTTGGTGTTGTTAAGACGTCTGCGTTACACCTTATCCGATACCTCGACTGATCGTACTACTTTTCGTCTTTTGGTTTTTGGAAGCGTCTCCAGAAATGTGCCCCGAATATTGGATATTGTGGAACGTGACCCATTTCTGAGTTGAATCTTTTGGGATTTGTCGCTTTACACGGTTGCCTACCTTTGTAGAGGGGCATGCTACGGTTGTCCTGTTTTCTCATCCATTGTCGTCACTGTGTAGGTGTGTGGTGCCTCTCGATTCACCTCCTCTATGATCACGGCCAATCTTATTGCCATGGGATATACAACAGCAGGGTGGATCATCAAGTGGTTGTACGTAGATATACTGGGCACATACATGGACCCTGCACAATGCCCTACGAGTGATGTAAGTTTGCGTGTATGTATGTGTGCTCGTTTGTATATATATATATATATA